CGTTAAGAATCTTGGTTAGTGTTTTTAGAGTCAAATATGACTAGAAAACGTGTGTATGATTGGGTATAAGAATTAGAACCGCAACTGGATCCCGTAAGCTAAAGTAATGTTTTTCCGTTTAGAAACCCCAAAACCGAAAACTCATAGGACTTCGGCCATACCCACAAAGCTTTGAGAGGCAATAAGAAGCTTGGTTAGTGTTTTTGGAGTCAAATATGACTAGATAACGTTAGTATGATTGGGTATAAGAACTAGAACCGCAACCGGATCCCGTAAGCTAAAGTAGTGTTTTTCCGTTTAGATGCTCCAAAACTAAAAACTCATAGGACTTCGACCACACCCACAAAGCTTTGAGAGGCGTTAAGAAGCGTGGTTAGTGTTTTTGGAGTCAAATATGACTAGATAACGTTAGTATAATTGGGTATAAGAACTAGAACCGCAACCGGATCCCGTAAGCTAAAGTAGTGTTTTTCCTAAAACAAACCGGCCCCGTTTAGGATCGCGGGACGCGGACGTTACAAGTCTACCCCCCTTAAATTGAATTCGTCCTCGAATTCAGCGGGTGTTAGAGTTCCGTTACTCCTTAACGTTTTCCCATCTTTAGTCTTCCAAAGACTTTAGATTTCATTCTTGATCAAGTATCTATTTCCAAGTTTGATCAAGTTTCCCGATCTTGGTCTTTTCCGACTCTTGATCAAATTTCCCGATCTTGGTCCACTCTTGGACTCGATCTATTTTAACGATCGTGGTCCTTTCCCGGACTCGATCCATTTTCCCGATCTTGGTCCTTTCTCGGACTCGATCCATTTTCCCGATCTTGGTCCTTTCTCGGACTCGATCCATTATTCCCGACCTTGGTCCTTTCCGGACTCGGTCACTTATCCCGACCTTGGTCCACACCGGACTCGGTCACTTTTCCCGACCTTGGTCCACACCGGACTCGGTCAATAATTTCCGACCTTGTTCCTTTACTGGACTCGGTCAATAATTTCGGACCTTGGTCCTTCCCGGACTCGGTCAATACCCCTTGATCTTTTCAACTCCGAATAAATCAAGTGTTTCCCGATCTGCGTCAAATTCTGACGAGATCTAAATTCCATTGAACTTGGTATTTCTCCGAATAGATCAATACCTTTTTCCCGTTATGTTAAGTCATTTGACTACAAGGCTCGTATCTTGGTGCCCGATCATGCCTTGGGTAACCTTTCCTCAAGCACATCAATCTCATTCACCTCAACTTCCTTATCCGCCAAACACTTAGCTTAACTTTTTCAACTTTTCTAATAAGCCCCTCTCTCCGAATAATTATTCACTTGCTACACGTGTAGTTCTTGCCCCTTGGGTAATCATCTTGGCTTAACCAATTCACCATGGCAAACTCTCTTTGTTTCCAAGCATGTAATCGCATTCTTACCTCAATTCCCTTCCGGCTCACCAACACTAATGTTCAAGTTCATAATTCGGTTTCCCGAGTACTCAATCATTTAAGTTACACCTTTATTAGTCATTAACCATGACATTTTCCCGAGCACTTATCCATCCTAGGATCAAGCATGCTCTGATACCAACTTGTAGCGTCCCGTCCCGGACGTCTCGGCGTCCGGCGACCATTGACGCACGTTCGTGCCTCCTTCGGCCGAACCTCCATATTTTTCGCATTTTAACATAGAATTGCCTTTACAAGGCTTGATTCTATAATCCATTTTCTTTTAACACAGCGGAAGTCTTTCTACCCTTGGTCTAATTCCAACCAACCCTTGTACCGGTTTGATTGTCTTTGTCCCTTAGACTTTAGATCAATCATTTACTCGGCCAAGTCATGCAATTTGTTCGCTAACCATTCTAAGTCTAACGATTGCATATTCTTTTATCCTTAATCCAACGGCCAATTCCCAACGTCTAGCTTAACTAATAAGTTAGATTCGTTTACATACCTTGGCCAACATGCGGATTTGATTCCTCTTCGATCCGTTCATTGATCCTCCCCTTAGCCTTTTTGTTACCTTCTTCCATTCGTACAACGATTCTTAACCAATCGTGTATTGATGGACCAATCTCTATCGTTACTTAGCCATTCATCCAACCAACCCCACTGGTCTAAGTCCCTACGATAGAGATTGGGGATCGTACGTTTCCTTTGGTTCACGTTGGCCGAATCAAGCTCTTGGCTCATTGGTCCATCCGTCCTCCAAACAAACGCCCCTTCGGTTTCATGGTGGACGATCAAGCCCTCGGCCTATCGAACCATCCATGTTTCCGATCCGGTCGTTTATCACTATGACCGCCTACGGTTTATTAACCGTTTACCCGTCCGGTCCATGGTGGTCGGTAAAGCCTACGGCTTATCAATCCATTCATGCGATCCGAACAATATCATTATCACACCCAAGGGTCCGTGGATTCATCCATCGGATTATCGTAGGCTAGCCCATGAAATCATTCGTCCGTCGGCCTTTGGTTTGCTCGCGGGTCCAACATCCGTTTTGTCCACCGGTTCTCACCGTGGACGGTCGGCCTATCCGATCCGATCCGTCCGACGATCGGTCTGTCCAATCCGATTCGTCTCCAAGACGATCGGTCCGACCCATCCATCCGTCCTATATACATTCCATCGAACCGTTGGATCGGGAGGTAGCATGCGCATCAGTTCGGTCGAGGCTCCGAGAATCCATTCCGATTCTGGAGATACTCGCCGAGCCGCACCCCTTTTCCGTCCAACAACTTCGTGGTGTGTTTTGGGACTTGTTTTGGTTGTGATGGTTGTTCTGAGATGGTGTGGACGTCCTCCCTTATATAGGGGGCGAATGGTTGCTTTTCCGAAGCATCACATCCGTTCCATGCACCTTTCCGAAGGGTTACATCTTTCCGATTGTAACCGCTCGGCCTTATCCACCTTTTCGCCAACGGTGATCGTTCGACCTTACACCTTTTGGCCGAGACACCTCTTCATCCCCGAGCTACCACAGTCCACCAGCTCGAGTGTCAGCTTACCAGACCACCCAGCTGGGTCAGTACTCGATAAGTTCACCGAGCTCGGTTGAGCTGTCGGTCAGCTCACCTAGCTGAGCTAGCTAGTCCTCCAGCTGGTTTAGCTCACCTAGCTGAGCTAGCTAGTTCATTCAGCTTGTCCAGCTCACCTAGCTTGTTTAGCTCGAACGTTCTTTCACGTTCTTTCCGGCTAAGTCATTCAGTCCGTTTTCTCGGCCTTGACTACGCCATTCCCTATCTTTCCATGATCATTTCTCCATGATCACTAGATTATCCCGAAACCGTCTAAGTCATCTACCCTTTTCATGACTTAAACGTTTCATTTCTTCCTTAGGTTAACTTTTTCATTGGTCTTTCTCGACCATGATCTAGTTTTCCCTAAAACAAACCGGCCCCGTTTAGGATCGCGGGACGCGGACGTTACAAGTCTACCCCCCCTTAAATTGAATTCGTCCTCGAATTCAGCGGGTGTTAGAGTTCCGTTACTCCTTAACGTTTTCCCATCTTTAGTCTTCCAAAGACTTTAGATTTCATACTTGATCAAGTATCTATTTCCAAGTTTGATCAAGTTTCCCGATCTTGGTCTTTTCCGACTCTTGATCAAATTTCCCGATGTTGGTCCACTCTTGGACTTGATCTATTTTAACGATCGTGGTCCTTTCCCGGACTCGATCCATTTTCCCGATCTTGGTCCTTTCTCGGACTCGATCCATTTTCCCGATCTTGGTCCTTTCTCGGACTCGATCCATTATTCCCGACCTTGGTCCTTTCCGGACTCGGTCACTTATCCCGACCTTGGTCCACACCGGACTCGGTCACTTTTCCCGACCTTGGTCCACACCGGACTCGGTAAATAATTTCCAACCTTGGTCCTTTACCGGACTCGGTCAATAATTTCCGACCTTGGTCCTTCCCGGACTCGGTCAATACCCCTTGATCTTTTCAACTCCGAATAAATCAAGTGTTTCCCGATCTGCGTCAAATTCCGACGAGATCTAAATTCCATTGAACTTGGTATTTCTCCGAATAGATCAATACCTTTTTCCCGTTATGTTAAGTCATTTGACTACAAGGCTCGTATCTTGGTGCCCGATCATGCCTTGGGTAACCTTTCCTCAAGCACATCAATCTCATTCACCTCAACGTCCTTATCCGCCAAACACCACTACAAGAAATATGCACATACTTAACACGACAGAAGTGCTATAATACGTCATTCATAGCGTTTTCATAAATGCTATTTTATGCCCCTGTTATGGTAGGTACCACATATACGATAGCATTTTTGGCATGTTATGATAGACCCCCACATACGATAGCATTTTCATATTATAGCGCTAATCGAACACTGTAATATACTTTATTGTAACATACATTTAGTGTTGTATCATATAATGTCGTAACATTTTGTTTTCGCTATAAAAATTTAATTTGATTTATAAAATAAAATTTTTATTGGAACCCAATTTTGTAAAATTTATTTAATTAGAAACACACATATATATATATATATATATATATATATAACATTTATATTATATAAATCGTCAACAAGTAATATTACATTAACCAAAAACAAAGTCATACATAACATTATATTAAATCTTATACTAATTACTAAAATACTGCCTAGTCTTAAACAAACTAAAACTAACATCTTAAGGGGAAAAAGAAAACTTAAAACCTTACTAGCATTCCCTATTCCTACGCCCATGGTCAAGTTGTTCTGTGAGTTTTGGAGTATCTGATCCATATCACAAGCTAAGAAGGGGGTGTAGGAAGGAGTTTCACATTCAACCAATAGTGCTGATTTTCTCTAGTACCTGCCAGACACACAAATTAAAAATGATGTAAGTTGAACAATGGAGAAGACATCATTTTACCAGAGGTAATAAACTAGAAAGCATGAGCAATAGAGGGCTGATAAAGTTCAGTGAGGTTAAAGATAGCAAAGAAATAACATATGGAAAAACACAAAACCAAAAGTTAATCCACAAAACAACTTAGCAATCATCATATCATCGTCAAACAAAAACATGTAATCAAACATGAGAGGAAGTACCTTTGCGAACTGTAGCATTATGATGGAAAGTTTGTTGCAGAAACTCCTTCAAGGTTAAGTCTTTCTTACTTGTAGTGAAGCCACTCTTTTCAGCTGCTCACTTTGCTAAGGGGTTATATAACAACTTTCAAATAAGCAAAACAAACTAAACCATAAGCAGAGAGCTAATAAAGTTTGAATTGCAGGAGAAAGCAGATACCTTTGGATTTAACCTCTGTGTTAGTTGCATTTTTTTGGTGGAGGTAACTTTCTTCAATGCTTTCTCTTAATTTTATGCCAACTAAAAAAACAAAAAAAAACTCAACCTAACAGTTCATCAAACACTTGAAGATTCATAGAAACTCAGAAGAAAAAGAGAAAATGTTAAATCCCTAGAAAAAGTATATTAAAACTGAATACTTTCTTTTGTGCTTCTTTGCTCAAGTCAGCTTCTCTAAGATTGAAAGATAACAGTCACAACTTTAATTTCTTTTAACTAGCCAAGACTTTCAGATTTTTGTAGTGGATTGTTAAACTAGAAAGAATTAACTATCAGATGCTTACTTCTTTTCCAGAAACTCATGCTGCAAGTCCCTGTTGAATGCGGCAACAATGAAGGCCAAAGCTTGCTCTCTCATCGAACTCCTTCACATCCAGAAAAGAAATAATCCAAATATCAAGTTTGCATCAAAGTTTGCATCATAATCAAGCAAAGCACAAGAAAAAAAACTCAGCATTTAAAAAAGAAACACACATTTTCACATAGAGCACATCAAGGGATGGATCCAACAAATCATCTTGACGTTAATAATTGAAAGTTTGAAAACTTAATACAAATTAGAATAAACAAATCAAGGGCATACCGTCTTCTTCTTGGCAGCGACCTCTCCTTTCTTCTTAGGACTTGAAAATTAGTTTCAAAACCGTAAAATTTTCTATCTTTAGCATCTCCTTAGCTTCCTTCTCATAACCAAATAAGTTTAATTCTGTGAGAATTATTTCTGAAACAGCTGCTCTGATTTTCATTCCGGCGATCAATTCTCGTAACTGGGTTACTGATATAGGCTTCTGGCAAGCTGGTAACTGTTCTTGTACAGTTTACCCTTGGTCTCCAGAAGGTCTATTAAAACTTGAAGAACTTCAAACGGCTCCAACTTGGGCGATTCTGAAGAATGTCCCGCCTCAGCTGTACTCCTTAGAAGGTATAAGCGTCATTGCAAGTGGAATTGGGGAACCTCTTCATACGGAGAAGTCGTGGCTTGATCCGGTTAATATTGGTACCACAAAGGTGAAGGTGGTCATTAATTTGGGTTCTGCTCTCCCATCCACAGTTGTTGTTCGTGATGTACAAGGGAATATTGCTCGGGTTGCTGTTGACTACCCCAGGCCACCTCCGAAGTGTTTGAATTGTGGGAAATATGGGCATTTGTTGAGTAGATGCCCCCAGCCTCTTTTGAAGAAGTCGCCTTTTAAGAAAGATAAGCCGTCTGGATCTAAAGAGGTGTCTCTTCCTTCAGTCTCTATCCCCTCTTCTGGGCATGATAATGTTGGGGAGACCACTGCTCTGACTGGGGCTGGAGTAACGCCTTCCTCCAAGCCTAGAAGGAAACGGTCCAGATCAAAAAAGCGATCCTTGAGTTCTCCTCCGAGAATTTTGGATCCTCAGTCTCCTGAGATTTTAGAGGACCCTTCTCGGAAGAGACCTGACGATGGTAAGAAATGGGTTGTGAAGACTGGAGGTAAGCCTTCTTCCTCTTCTCGTCAGCCCAAACCAAGTGGGGATGTGGAGGCTGTCTGTGTTCAGTCTGCCCCAGGTATTCTTCGCCCTAAAAGAGATTCTATCCATTCCCCTGATCCTAATTTCCCTATCCCTCCGGGTTGGGCGGTTTTGTCTACCAAGGCGAAGAAAAAAGAACTAAAGAAATGGCACAACCGCATGCGGTCTGTGACACCAGGAACTCATGGAACTGATCGAGGCGAGTTCTCGAACAGCTCTTTGCCTCATTGAAAGCTTCGCTTTCGCCTTCACCTTTTGTGTGTATATGAAGGTTTTTTGTTGGAACATTCGTGGCTTGAATAGCTGTAATCGACAAAGATTTGTCAGAAGCTGGGTCGCTTCAAATAATCTCCTGGTAGGTTGTCTTTTGGAAACTCATGTGGCTGAGGAGAATGCCGGTTCTGTTTTAGCCTCTACCATACCAGGTTGGAGAATGGATAGCAACTATTGTTGCTCTGATCTTGGGAGGATCTGGATTGTTTGGGATCCTTCCGTTTCAGTTTTGGTTTTTAAAAAATCGGATCAGTTTATCATCTGCAGTATCAAGCTGCCAAATCTCAACCAATCTTTTGCGGTTGCTTTTGTCTATGGGAGAAATACGGAAATTGAGAGGAGATTACTTTGGGAGGATATTTCCTTGTTGGCGTCTTCTACTCCTCTGTCTGAGACTCCTTGGATTCTGGTTGGGGATTTCAACCAAGTCGCTGCCACCAATGAACACTTTTCTATCATTCAGTCTTCCTTCTCCATGAGAGGTATTGAGGATTTCCAGAGCTGCTTAAGGGATAATAATCTCTCTGATCTTCCGAGCAGGGGGGTTTTCTTTACTTGGTCTAATCACCAACAAGATAATCCTATCATTAGAAAGTTAGATAGAGCTTTAGCTAACAGCGAATGGTTTTCTGTTTTTCCAAGCGCCTTGGCTGTTTTTGATCCTCCGGGGGATTCAGATCATTCACCATGTATCATCTCCATTGATAATCTGCCAGGTAGAGCAAAGAAGTCATTCAAATACTTCTCTTTTCTCTCTACCCATCATTCTTACCTTCCATCCTTATCTGTGGCTTGGAAGAAAGATATTGCAATTGGCTCTCATATGTTCTCCTTGGGTGAGCACTTAAAAGCTGCAAAGCTGTGTTGCAGGAGTTTGAATCGTCTTAGGTTCAGCAACATTCAGCAGAGAACTGATCTGGCTCTTTCCCAGTTAGAGACATTGCAGATTGCCTTACTCACTAGCCCTACTGATTCATTATTCAGGGAAGAACACGTGGCTAGGAAAAAATGGAACTTCTTTGCTGCTGCTTTGGAGTCTTTTTACAGACAAAAATCAAGGATTCGCTGGCTTCATGAGGGAGACGCGAATACAAGATTTTTCCATAGAGCTGTTTTGGCTCATCATGCGATCAATCTTATCAAGTTCCTTAGAGGGCCAGATGACACAAGAATTGACAATGTGGATCAGATTAAGGGTATGGTAGTGGCCTATTACACGCATCTGCTCGGCACTCCTAGTGATATTGTCACTCCCTTCTCGGTGGATAGAATCCGTCAGCTCCATCCTTTTCGTTGTGATTCTTCTCTTGCTCTTAAGCTTTCAGTTATCCCTAGTGAGGAGGAAATTACTCAGGTTCTATTTACCATGCCCAGGAACAAAGCTCCGGGTCCTGATGGATTTCCGGTGGAGTTCTTTGTGGAAGCTTGGCCGGTTGTTAAGGACTGTACTGTGGCGGCTGTGAGGGAATTTTTTCTAACAGGTCACCTGTTGAAGAGATTTAATGCGACTGCCATTACTCTTATTCCCAAGGAGACAGGGGCTGATCAATTAACCCAGTTCAGACCCGTCGCTTGTTGTTCAACAATCTATAAGGTCATCTCTCGCTTAATCTCCAAGAGGCTGAGGCTTTTTATTGATCAAGCGGTGCAGAACAATCAGGTGGGGTTCATTAAAGGGAGGTTGTTGTGTGAGAATGTGCTCTTGGCTTCAGAATTGGTTGATAATTTTCAAGCTGAAGGTATTACTTCTAGAGGCTGTTTGCAGGTGGATCTCACAAAGGCTTATGATAATGTTAATTGGGATTTCCTAATCAATATTCTTAAGGCTATGGATCTCCCTCCTCTGTTCATAAACTGGATTTGGGTCTGTATTTCAACTCCTTCCTACAGCATTGCCTTTAACGGTGAACTGATTGGTTTTTTCCAAGGGAAGAAAGGGATTAGGCAAGGGGATCCAATGTCGTCTCATCTATTTGTTCTTGTCATGGATATCCTCGCCAAATCTTTGGACCTTGGTGCGGTGAATGGCCTCTTCACTCTCCATCCCAAGTGCTTCGCGCCTATGGTAACTCATTTGAGCTTTGCAGACGATGTTTTGATTTTCTGTGACGGGTCTGAATCTTCCATTGCTGGGATTCTGAATATTTTAGATGTGTTTAAGAGTGGCTCAGGGCTGGGTATTAATAGACAAAAAACTGCTTTGCTTCTTGATGGTGGAGACTTTGAGAGAAATCGGTTATTATCTGCTGGTTTTGGTGTCACTCATGGATCTCTCCCTGTGATATATTTGGGAGTTCCTCTTATGGCTCAAAAAATGAAAAGGCAGGATTATCAACCTCTTCTTGACAAAATTAACTTGAGGTTCACTGCCTGGACTGCTCGCCACCTCTCATTTGCTGGGAGACTTCAGCTCTTAAAATCTGTCATCTATTCTACGATAAATTTCTGGGCCTCTATCTTCATCCTTCCCAACCAATGTTTACTGAAATTGGAGCAGATGTGTAATGCTTTTTTGTGGACAGGGGCTCCTAACTCGGCTAGGGGAGCAAAGATTTCTTGGGAGATTGTGTGTTCTTCTAAGGAGGCTGGGGGATTGGGGCTGAGACGTTTGTCCTCTTGGAATAAAGTGCTTGCGCTGAAGCTAATTTGGCTGCTTTTCACTGCGGCTGGATCACTATGGGTTTCTTGGGTCAGATTGAATCTTATTGGTCAAAGGAACTTTTGGGACCTGAATCCCTCTATCTCGGGCAGTTGGATTTGGAGACAGTTGTGCAAGCTTAGACCGCTGGCCAGGCCCTTCCTCTTCTGTGAAGTTGGGTCAGGTGTCACTGCTAGTTTTTGGCATGACAATTGGACGGGTCTTGGGCCTCTCTATGCTTTGGCAGGTATTAATGGGCCGCAAATGTCGGGTCTTCCTTATAATGCTGTGGTAAGAGATGCTCTCAGGGGTAATGACTGGTGGATTACTTCTAGTAGGAGCAGGAACCCAGTTATTAGGATGCTAAAGGATTCTCTCCCTGTGGCCATGAATGTGTTTGAGTGTCAGCATGATGATTCTTATCGTTGGATGCTTGAGAATCATCCTCCTTCAAACAAATTCTCAACGGCTGGCACGTGGCAGGCTCTTCACCCTACCTCCATTTCGGTCCCGTGGCACAGGGCTGTCTGGTTTAAAGACCGGGTACCCAAACATGCTTTTATTTGCTGGGTTGTAACTTGGAATAGGTTACACACAAGGGACAGACTTACGAGATGGGGTCTCTCTATTCCAGAAGTTTGTGTTCTCTGCAATGACCTTCCGGAGTCTCGTGATCACCTCTTCTTTGAGTGTCGTTACAGTGCTGACATTTGGGGGTTCTTTACAGCTGCGGCTCGTCTTAATCCTCCATCTCAGTACATGGCTTGCCTTACTTGGTTACTTTCGGCTTCGAGGAATAAGAATCTTTCCCTAATCATCAAGCTGATGTTCCAAGCCTCTATTTACTTTATCTGGAAGGAGCGTAACCTTCGAATTCACTCCGGTGTTGCTAGACCCTCCAATCTCATTATTAAGGAGATTCAACTCATAATTCGTGCTCGTCTCGATCCGCTTTCCAGGGCTCAATCTGTTGTGCAGCCTGGATCCTCCTTGTTGTGTACTTGGTTTGGTCTTTTCCAGGCTAGGTCTCCTCTCTTGTAATCCCTCCTCCTTTGTTCTCTGCAGGTCTGTTTACTTTGGTGCTTCGTTTCCTTTTCATTATGGGCAGGTGGACTAAGGGATGCTGGCCTTGTTCTTTTGTTTTTTGTTTTTTGTGTTTTTTGCGTGGCCTGCGTGCCTTTTGGCCTATGGGCTTGTAACCTTTTTCTTTTTGGGCCTGTGTGCTTGTTGGGCCTTCTGGCCTTGTAATCTTTTTCTTTTAATGGAAATTTAAAATTGAAAAAAAAAAAAAAAAAAAAAAAAAAAAAAAAAAAAAAAAAAAAGTTTAATTCATAAAACAACTATAATCAGAAACAGAATTCTCATTGCGACATAATGTATACATAATGAACTTATGTTGTTCGATTAAACTTATTTAAGGTTAAATCGATAGATTAGGACCATTAAACTAATCTATCGATTTAAGGTTTATCTGAAGCTGGGCATAAAGTGATAAAAGAGTCAAGATTCTACAGATTAGTTATAAGCACAAACATTGACCAGCAACCATATCTTTTAACATCTAAATCAAATCCGAAACCCTATATCTTATTACTACAATATCAAGACATCAGACTATCTCCTTCCCCAACACCTCCTTAGGTTTAGATACGAAGCCACATCAAAATTTGAAGATCTAAGAAGAAAATTGAAAGAAGCTTACTTGCGATTGTGAGAGAGGGACAGAGAACGTGTCACAAAGAGCGAGGAAGAACACCAAACGGCGTTTAAGCTAGATGCCCTTTCAAAATCCAACACAGCACCATCGTAGTAATTTCATCGAACACATGGTGTGCGTGCAAACATCGAAGTTCTTAGATACAGAAAAAAGGGAGATCGAAAAGATCGGAGACGGCGAGGATATATGGAGGAGAAGAGGAGCTTTATTTTCTCGAGAGTTTCTTTTTGTTTTTTTTTCCTTTCAAAGTTTTTTTCTTATTCTTTTGTCTCTAGACAATTTTAAGGAAAAACTAAAAGTCACAGTGATACTAATTGTGTTTTTGGGCCTAAGTGTTGGCGCCTATGAAAAAAACAGGCTCTAAAATCTCCCGCTTGCTAAAAATTTGGGCTTAACATTTTTTAAATGCTATAATATAGTATCTCTATCTAACATACTATTTTAATAGCAGTAGCGGAAAATGAGCTATCTTCATGTGCTATTAATGTGGACTTTTTTTGTAGTGCACTTAGCTTAACTTTTTCAACATTTATAATAAGCCCCTCTCTCCGAATAATTATTCACTTGCTACACGTGTAGTTCTTGCCCCTTGGGTAATCATCTTGGCTTAACCAATTCACCATGGCAAACTCTCTTTGTTTCCAAGCATGTAATCGTGTTCTTGCCTCAATTCCCTTCCGGCTCACCAACACTAATGTTCAAGTTCATAATTCGGTTTCCCGAGTACTCAATCATTTAAGTTACACCTTTATTAGTCATTAACCATGACATTTTCCCGAGCACTTATCCATCCTAGGATCAAGCATGCTCTGATACCAACTTGTAGCGTCCCGTCCTGGACGTCTCGGCGTCCGGCGACCATTGACGCACGTTCGTGCCTCCTTCGGCCGAACCTCTATATTTTTCGCATTTTAACATAGAATTGCCTTTACAAGGCTTGATTCTATAATCCATTTTCTTTTAATATAGCGGAAGTCTTTCTACCCTTAGTCTAATTCCAACCAACCCTTGTACCGGTTTGATTGTCTTTGTCCCTTAGACTTTAGATCAATCATTTACTCGGCCAAGTCATGCAATTTGTTCGCTAACCATCCTAAGTCTAACGATTGCATATTCTTTTATCTTTAATCCAACGCCCAATTCCCAAACGTCTAGCTTAACTAATAAGTTAGATTCGTTTACATACCTTGGCCAACATGCGGATTTGATTCCTCTTCGATCCGTGCATTGATCCTCCCCTTAGCCTTTTTGTTACCTTCTTCCATTCGTTCAACGATTCTTAACCAATCGTGTATTGATGGACCAATCTCTATCGTTACTTAGCCATTCATCCAACCAACCCCACTGGTCTAAGTCCCTACGATAGAGATTGGGGATCGTACGTTTCCTTTGGTTCACGTTGGCCGAATCAAGCTCTTGGCTCATTGGTCCATCCGTCCTCCAAACAAACGCCCCTTCGGTTTCATGGTGGACGATCAAGCCCTCGGCCTATCGAACCATCCATGTTTCCGATCCGGTCGTTTATCACTATGACCGCCTACGGTTTATTAACCGTTTACCCGTCCGGTCCATGGTGGTCGGTAAAGCCTACGGCTTATCAATCCATTCATGCGATCCGAACAATATCATTATCACACCCAAGGGTCCGTGGATTCATCCATCGGATTATCGTAGGCTAACCCATGAAATCATTCGTCCGTCGGCCTTTGGTTTGCTCGCGGGTCCAACATCCGTTTTGTCCACCGGTTCTCACCGTGGACGGTCGGCCTATCCGATCCGTTCCGTCCGACGATCGGTCTGTCCAATCCGATTCGTCTCCAAGACGATCGGTCCGACCCATCCATCCGTCCTATATACATTCCATCGAACCGTTGGATCGGGAGGTAGCATGCGCATCAGTTCGGTCTAGGCTCCGAGAATCCATTCTGATTCCGGAGATACTCGCCGAGCCGCACCCCCTTTCCGTCCAACAACTTCGTGGTGTGTTTTGGGACTTGTTTTGGTTGTGATGGTTGTTCTGAGATGGTGTGGACGTCCTCCCTTATAAAGGGGGCGAATGGTTGCTTTTCCGAAGCATCACATCCGTTCCATGCACCTTTCCGAAGGGTTACATCTTTCCGATTGTAACCGCTCGGCCTTATCCACCTTTTCGCCAACGGTGATCGTTCGACCTTACACCTTTTGGCCGAGACACCTCTTCATCCCCGAGCTACCACAGTCCACCAGCTCGAGTGTCAGCTTACCGGACCACCCAGCTGGGTCAGTACTCGATCAGTTCATCGAGCTCGGTTGAGCTGTCGGTCAGCTCACCTAGCTGAGCTAGCTAGTCTTCCAGCTGGTTTAGCTCACCTAGCTGAGCTAGCTAGTTCATTCAGCTTGTCCAGCTCACCTAGCTTGTTTAGCTCGAACGTTCTTTCACGTTCTTTCCGGCTAAGTCATTCAGTCCGTTTTCTCGGCCTTGACTACGCCATTCCCAATCTTTCCATGATCATTTCTCCATGATCACTAGATTATCCCGAAACCGTCTAAGTCATCTACCCTTTTCATGACTTAAACGTTTCATTTCTTCCTTAGGTTAACTTTTTCATTGGTCTTTCTTGACCATGATCTAGTTTTCCCTAAAACAAACCGGCCCCGTTTAGGATCGCGGGACGCGGACGTTACATAGATGCTCCAAAACCAAAAGTCATAGGACTTCGGCCACACCCACAAAGCTTTGAGAGGCGTTAAGAATCTTGGTTAGTGTTTTTAGAGTCAAATATGACTAGAAAACGTGTGTATGATTGGGTATAAGAATTAGAACCGCAACTGGATCCCGTAAGCTAAAGTAATGTTTTTTCCGTTTAG